GAATAGTGTTACAAATTACAAACTACATTTATTAAATTATACTTCTGGATAAATCCTTACGCTGCTTGTAAACTATTGTCTTCAATGTTCCGATATTCTATAAATAATCCTACCAATATTATAAATGTGAAAGTTTGTGACGACGGATTTATGTTTCTGAATCTTTCATGAAAAAACTACTGGAAGGATATTGATGATCATCATCAGCCCTTTTACGTCCCCACTGCAGGGGCTCAGGCCTTCCTTATGGATGGTTAAGGAGGATAGGCCATGACCCTCCACGCTGGCCCAATGCGGATTGGAGGGTATTAACGACTGCAAATGCAGCCGGGACCAACGGCTTAACGTGCCTTCCGAAGCACGGAGTAGCTCGAGATAATAATAATATTTTGGTCACCCATCCCGTGACCGACCCTTGCGAAAGTTGTTTAACGACTACGATCGCGGGCCGCGGCGCTTATCCACTTTAGTAGGTATACGGACAATTCAAAGCCTGACTTGATATTCATATAGGCTAGGCTATGCTAGGCCAGGGATAAATGTACTGTCAAATCGCGCGGGTGAAGCCGCTGGCGGAAAGCAACTAAGTGAATAAACATTATAAGCGAAAATAAACCTCCCGGGAACTTTTGCTTTTGTAAATAAGAGTTGTTTATGTATTAACGGAAGGGCCCTCCAACTCATCTAAAATCGTATCGATTTTCAATAAAAATATGAAAGAGGTTGTACACAGGATCTTTTAAGTTAAAAAGTTGAAGTGGTCCCCACCTTTTTAAGTTAAAGATCAAAAGCAAGACTTGAGTGGACGGGGTCGAGTCCCGCTTGATACCCGATCCTTGGTATTCTGATAGAGCCTACTAGGTATGGAATAGGGTCTCTGATATTGTTTTTGTTTTACGAGTGCCAAATTAGCCGATGAGTTTTTACTGAATTCATAAAAAGGAAGAGGTTCTGAATTGGACTGTATTTTTTAAGTAAGTTTTAACTAAAGCCTATATATAACAACTACCTTTAAACTGCGAATTCTTTTTATATTTAAAATTTGATGCTAATCAAGTCGTCCCATTTAAATTCGGGTGAGTTCAGATTAATAGTTTCATTTACATATACAAATGACTAACTGGAAAAATGATATACATAATAGAATATGAGTACCGTAGCGACATCTAGTTCGATTTCGGGAACTAAATTTTTAATTACTACTTCATTCAATGACATTTCAAAAGCCACTATTTAAAAAAAGAAAATGGCGCCGTCCTTGTAGCAGATTCAAAATGTGCAAAGCATTTTCTCGTTCAAAAAAATAAAAGCGGATTAACTTATCTTTGGGCAAATTCTTACGCATCAAGTCTCCGAACGGTTATACTTACGGCGTCGGTCCCTTGAGAGTCTGAAAAACATCGCAACAGGCCTCGAACGGTCGATCACAGATTAGGCAAAGCGGCCGTACTGATTTACATAATAAGGATGCAACCTCTTAGGAAGATCACCCTACTATTAGCATTTAGATTGTGCCGGTGAATGAAGGCAGACAATCAATCAATCGATGCTTGCATTATTAGAACCAAATCAGCGTGCTCTTTGCTTTAAATGTCCATATCGATCTTTATTCTTGAAGTATATCGCACTTTGAGAATGACAATGTCACTAACCAAAAACGACGTATATTTAACTTTTGGCAACATTTTTCTTTGTATAAATTTTCAAATGCAAAGATCCCTGTGAACGTAGCTTGCATAGAAACTGCTAGGTGGCGTAGTGACGATACGTTGTTTAGAGGGGCTGATTACAATTTCTTGAACTTTAAAGGCTCATTACTCAAAATCGCATTTTTTGCATTGTGTCACTATCGTTCTCAACGTACGATATATATTTGACACATGTCAATGTCTGAAATTTGATCGATATTACAGCCTAAATTTCATTTAGTTCTATTCTGCCAAACTGCGTTTTCAATTAAAAAGTTAAAACTTATTACAGTATATTTATCTCATCATAACATACCCAAATTTACAACAAATCCAAAAAAAATTAAACACTGTTTGGGTTACTTTAGATAGCGGTACGCACGGCCGCAAGTCAAGTTCTATACGAAGCGTGGTTGGCACTAAGTCCATAATGTACATAGCCATGCCATTAATATTGTTACATAGAAAATGTTTTTTTCTTGTTGAACATAACATCTGAGTAGTTTTTATTGGCTGCAATACAGCCCTTTAAACGTTGAGGCCAGTTATCAGTAGACGCACACAAACTTTCTATGAGAAAATTCTTAACTGCCAATCGTATGGATTGTTTTAGGGACTCCAAATTATCATGGCGTTCATAGCAAGTCTTACTCTATAAAACTGACCATAAATCATTGTCTAGCGCATTAAGATCTGGACTAGACGAGGTCCAGTCTTGAGCTCTGATGAAGTCGGAATCAGAGTCGCAAGGGAACGTTCGTTTCGAACCATGATTGGGTGGATCGAGCTTTATGACCAGGCACCGAGTCTTGCTGAAAGGACCATTCTTGGTTATTGAACATGGTGTTGTTAAGGGGTTTAACTACTTTCTCGAGAATGGTATCTTAATACTCTTGTATCGGTCACCCCTTTATAGCTAACAGCTAACACCCCACTAAACCATCACTGAAGTCGGATAATGCCCACGTTGTATTCCGTTGACTAATCATGAAGCTTCTTTAGAGTTTCGAGCATAAATACGGTCATTTTGTTTGTTAAAATATTAACAAACAAAATGACTGTATTTAATTGTAAAAAATATAATCGTAAAAAAATCTCACCCGTAAACTAATGTTTCTGTGACCTCCCCCTGCGTACCGTTTAAGTAGTTGTATTGAATTAACCACCCTTTTATTTTTTTAATTATCTATTAAGAAGTGACTAGTGCGTCTCTTAAAAGCTGCAAGTCCTAACTCATCTTTTAAAATACGCAACATGGTTCTAGGTGCTATATTCATCTCCCGAGATAAAATATTTCAGCCAGGATTTCATCAAATTCTTTTCGTGCTTTGAACGCCTTTTTCGTATGAACACTATGTGGATGGCCATATCTTTTACTGTCACAAACAGAGGAGGTTTCATTGTATCTATCAACACACACACACACAAATGTTTGACTAATATCAAGCGTATGGAGGGTTTTGAATATTGTGTTTGGTTTCATACCTACTTTATGTAATGCAACCTCTTTAATCAAATTTCCGTGAATCGATCGCGAATTTATCCGTGTTTTTGGCAATTTACAAAATTTTCCTCTATTACAATAATAATTAAATTGCAATTTTTGAAGAATTACAAGTCAGCGACTTATTATGATGGTCATACAGAAAGTAATCTTGATAAATTGGTGTGTGTCACAGAATAAATCCACTGAATTCTTATTAATACTTACAATAACCTATCAATATCGAGACGTTTTCAATGAGTGCTCAAGTATTTTGTCGATGTCCACGATTTTTAAGGTTTCGATAAGATAGGAAATGATTCATCAGTTATTTTCTAAGTCCGAATAAAATATATCAATTTAATATAATATTCAAATAAAATATTCAATTAAATATAACGTCGTATATTAGCACAAACTAAAGCTCGGGAAATACTTTAAATGATAAGATAAGAACAAAATTATAGCCTGCAGATTTATCATTTTTATTTAGGTATTTTTTACTTACAATAAATACGACGCGATTTTAATATGACAAAAATGGCACCTTGCGATTTTGATAATCTCCGAAACTACTCCCTTCGATCCTCCAAATACTAAGCTTCGCTCCGAATTCTCGTATAAATCGATAAATACGCTGTCAAAAACGTACCCGTCGAACTTAGAATCTCATCCTTTTTGATATTGAAGTCTCTTAAATAGGAAAAACCCTATAGTATTTAGTATATTCGTTTATTTCATCTGCAAAGTATAGAATAGCTAGGCAGGTATACTTATTGAAAACTTGTACAAGTAAAAGAATGTTATTGACAGCAGGAACATGGAAATAAGAAAACAATGTTCCCTTATTTTCGCCCATTAATTTTCGTTTCCGTTATTTACTTTTACGTTCGTATCCACGCCCCGAAATCAGATAAAAAGGACACGGCGAGGGGAGTTGCGTTCGTTTGAAAGTTCTATCCCGCGGGCTCCTAGTTTGACAGTTTGTTTAACTTAAAACCTTATAAATAGTGTTCCCTGGTGTGGGAGTTTAGGATTCCATTATTCTACTGTTAGGACCTACCCACAAATACAGAAACAAACGCCGCCATTGATGTAGAAGGGTGAACGTGATAACTTTTTAAATTAGCTTTGTAGTATTGAATAAAACAAATTTAATTTACTTAAGTATCTTTTGATTCGTGTTCCAATGAAGTCATGATTTTTTTGACATTTATATTTATTAAAAAAGAGTATGAAAAGCACCAACATTAAAAATCTTTGTGAGCATAAGGGAAAATCATAGATAACTATAATATTATAAAGAGAAAAAGTTTTTATACGAGTACTTATGTTTGGGTCACTAACTTAAAATAGGTCGCGTAGTCGTCTCAAACGCGCCATGGAAATAACTTGAAAAGGCCGATGTCCGAAACTGAACTGATACCTAGTGATAGGCTGAAGATGGTGATGATTATTATTGAACTAGTTTATTATTGATTTAATTTGAATTACTTCATACCGAAAAAGTATCTACTTTGCATTTCTTTTATTTATAACAAAATGAGTAATATTGCCTAAAAGTTTGATTAATAGTGAAGATGATTATTGTATTTTTCTGTAACCATCATAACTGTGCTGAAAATAATGCTACCGTAGAGAAGGCCCCGGTATCGTCGCCAGGGAAATCACCGCGGAATTAATATACCTTTTTCTGTGCATCTTGTTTATGCAGCATAGTGAAACGGAATCTTGTAATATTTTATTATTTGCATAAATAAGTTCTATATTTTTTCTTTATATGAAATAGTATACAAGCAGGATATGAATTACCAGTATGCCAAAGTCCATTAGATCTATTGAGTTCTTTTCACATATATATTTGTAACAATTAAACATAAATGCACTTAAGGATTAAAATGACAAACTTTGCAACTTTCACAGATGATTACATCTGTTACACATACTACTTTAGCCGCGATATTAAACATCAAAATAATTAAACACTTGTATTATATATATTTATTAAAATTATATACTTAAATTATATTGAAACACTTAAACTTATTTATTAATTTAAACTTTAGCATAAATTATTATTATTCAAACTTAAATAAATTAAAAAATCTTTAGTAAAAAAATAACGGAAGCTGAAGGTATTCGATGTTGAATTTGCAGAAGTACCATTATAAAAATTGTTAAAGAATCAAATAAATGAAATTTCGTTTGAGATGTTGTACGCTATTCAAAAAATATGACAAACTCCTAGAAAACTTGATCACCGATTAAAACTTATTTTGTTGACCGTGGATTCATTGTTGATCTGCGATTCGGTGAAAATGGTGCGTCACTTTCTTTCTTACCCAATTCGATTTTGTTGTTATATCTCAAATTGACCATACCCATCTTTCTAGACGCTGACGTAATGATCGAAGTTACAGTCTCCGATGGATGTGGCAAATCTGGCATCTGAGATACATATTCGCTAATTTTTCTTCGTATATCACTTCTATCAAGTACACTTTGTTGTTGATCGGCTTGAAAACTCGTACTTTGCGCGGATGCGAATGAGTCAATACTATCATCGAAATTATAATTCTCCCGATAGTACGAGAGTCTCAAGTGGGATTCGTCTTCAATGAAATATCCAGATATTTCCTGTTGTGTTGTGTCCGTAGATTTCATAGATTCCATTGTTTTATTATTTTCTGAATCCATTTTTATACAATATTTTGTCCGCACGCTCAAGCAGTCGTTGCTTCTAATTTACTGTTCTTAACTTGTCAATTTTCATACATGTATTATTTGTACCTACCCTCGTTGGCGTGGAATATGTAATGTAATTTGTTGTACCGTTTCAAAAAGCTTATAAGTTTAGTAAATTTCTCCCACGTCCTATATTTACCGTTCAATACGCGTTTTATTAATTAATTTATTTTTTGTGAAATTTATGCTAATTATGTTGAATACTTTTAATACTTTATATACTTTGATAGTATAATTATGTTCCTATAAATTATTGTATATTATAATAAGTTTACTTCTAATATCAGTAGTTTATAGAGTGAAAACGTAGTTTTCCAGGATTAAGATTATACAACCCATGATTACATCGAATTAAGTACATATAAAGTTGTTTTTTTGAAAGGAATTCAGCACAAAATTCAAACGGTTAAACTGTACACTGTTAAACTGGATTTCTTATTGTTAAATCTATACAGATAGACTATAAAACATGAATAATTAATTAATATATTTAGAACAAAAAAAAACACCTTTGATGGAAATACACTCTGTAGTAGCAAAAAAGTAACAAGTGCTTTGCAAGATTCATCAGTTTTGTTAGGTCCTGGGAGCTCAGTGGTTAGAGCAGTCGCCCGGATTGCGGAAGTTCATGGGTTCGAGTCCCATCTCGGAGTGCCAGGGACCATAAGCAGATTTTTAAGCATTTTTCATCAAGAATGAATAGTTAAGTAGTTAAGTGTAATAGTTAAGTTTTAGAGTTCACTTGAAAATATAGCATATACAATTTTTTTGATATTTGATAAGATAAATCTGCTGCTGTTAGTCACCTATATGTGGAATGTATTGAGATCAGATACTATTTATGTAAAACAACAATGAAAGTATATATAGAAATAGATATGATCAATTTTTATATCGGAAGTCCTATTTTTTTTTTATAAAATGTTTTGAAATATGCCTTTGTAATCGGTGTTGGTTGGTTTTAATAAGAGTTATCTCGAAATTTCTATGAATTTGTACTGAGGTTCGTTTGTTACAGATTGGTAATTGATTTGTTTCGAAATAACTAGACCGATTCAGTTGAAATTTGGTGTGCAAGACGTAAAAATAATTTCAAAACCAATTTTGGGGAGAATAAAAGAGGTGTACAAACTATATACCGTCATATACACATCAAAAGTTATTTACCTAACAGTTTGAACAATTTAATTTTTATGACTTTAATATAAATGCTTGTCATAGATTAATAAGGTTTTATAGTTCATAAAGAAAAACTGTTTGATGGTTGTCTGTTTGACATATAAAGAAAATCCAGAGATCCAAATACATTACCAAAGATACAATATTTTATTATAAACATTACTAAATACCTGCAAATAAAATAAAAGAGAACGTGGGCCAAGTTCCCCATAATGCTATTAACGTTATTTAGGATAGTAAAAATAGGCATCTCTCCCACTTTCATCTCTATAAACAAATACAGATAAAATTTTTCTTCTAAAGATTACAGGATAAACTCAAAAAAATCTGTAGTGTAAAAAAATATACGAAAGTTTTGCTTCTTTACTCCGACTAGCAAATAGCATTTTATTATATTTATAATGCATTTTGTTTTATCACATCAGCGTTATACTCGCACAATCGTATACTGTTCTCAGGAATTCTTCTAATCTTTCGACAATCTTTTCGGTTAATCTTATCCATCAACACATTCAGTACAAAAAATTAGTACAAGCAATCTTATTTAAAGCTTTCCGTAGGTGAAAGTTAGTCCAGTAGTTTCGGAGAACATTCGTTGCAAACATACAAATATTTTATTTTAATCATATTAGAATAGTAATAACAAGTTTAAGTTCACATGTCTCATTTCGTGATCACATCACTATTTGCAAAAAGGCCTTTCAAACTCTAGGATTCACCTTGTGCACTGTTCATAACTTTACCAATGTGAAGGCTATTGTTGCTCTTTACAATACATTGGTTAGGAGTCAGTTATTTTTTTATTATTTCTTTTTTATCGGATAGGGGGCTGACGGGCAGACTGATCACCTGATGGTAAGTGATTACCGTCGCCCATGGACACCTGCAACACCAGAGCCCACAAGTGCCCACAAGCGCGCTGCCGGCATGGAGCGAAGGGTTGAGGGGTAGAGGGAAGGGAATAGGGAGGGGTTGGGCCTCCGGTACCCTCACTTACACGACGAAACATAACGCAAGCGTTGCTTCACGTCGGTTTTCTGTGAGGCCGTGGTATCACTCCGGTCGAGCCGGCCCATTCATGCCGAAGCGTGGCTCTCCCACGGCTAGAATGTTACAGTTAGAATGTAATTCAGTCATTTGGTCACCGCATGAAGTTAAATATATTTCTATGCTCGAAAAGATACAAAATAAATTCATTAGATTTTTGTATATGAGACTATACGGAGTGTATCCTTTCTATCCATTTATGTATCCAACCTTATTTGTATTGGGAGTGGTGGGGTACAACGAACTTAGTGTCAGGAAGGAGCTTACACAGGCTTCCTATATCTTCAAAATTATTAGAGGAAATATTAATAATCCTAATATATTGGAGTCAATACAGCTATATGTACCGGACAGATATGTACGTGTGGCGACGCCGAAAACCACAGTGTTGTTTGTGCCGCGCGCGCGTTCCAACCTGATGATGCAGGCGCCTTTGACGCGGGAATACCGCACTCTTAACCTTATCGCTGATCGAATAGATATATTCATTTGCTCACTGAATGAATTCACAAAGACTGCGTTGTATATTATTTGTTATATACGTCAGTGATTTCAATATGGTTTATATTGATTGTATTTGATCAATTTGGCATTCGCGATGCTATACTGAAAAGAAAAATGTTGAATGGTTTGTATTAATTTTTAATGCAATACTAATTATTATTTTATTGTTAATAATTTAATTGGTTAATTTAGCTTTCACTATCGCATTGGGCTACATCTGTAATGATAGTTATAAGTTATGAAATAAATAAATTTTTATTTATTTCATTTTATTTTTATAAAATAAAATGTACATGAAATAAAGATACGTTGTATTAAAATAATAGTAGGACTATAATAACCCAATATGTGCCCGGGCAATTTATATGATACTTGAAACAAAAGTAGCGGTAAGCATACATTACAGATAAAGTAATAGCTAATTTAATGTAATAAAATTACATTGAAGTATATTGAAATGATGATACAACTAGTACATCGGTAGCTGTAGCTCGGTGGCGTAGTACATAAGCGCCACGGCCCGTGATCGTTGTTGTTAAGCAATTTTCGCAAGGGTCGGAAACGGGATGGGTGACCAAAAAGCTATTATCTCGAGCTACTCCGTGCTTCGGAAGGCATGTTAAGCCGTTGGTCCCGGCTGTATTTGCAGTCGTTAATACCCACCAATCCGCATTGGGCCAGAAGGGTCATGGCCCATCTTCCTTAACCCATAATAATCCATAAGCCTGAGCCCCTGCAGTGGGGACGTAAAAAGGGCTGATGATGATGAAACAACAAAATTTTAGTTGTGATTTTAGAATATATAAATGCTTATTAAGTATATTTGAAAAATATTCTTATTGAAAAATGAAAATTTGATTATAAATGCTATCAAAGACCATTTATCTATATATATATGGTTTTATTAGATAATCTTGCTAAGATGACACTGTCCTATTGGTAATATTTATTAATTAATTCATATTTTTAAATGATAATTTATGAAATATGTATTTTGTTAATGTATGACTTTACCCTGAACTGGTTTCCGACAATTTATTTTTGAAAGGAAATAAAGTTGGTCCTTTTTATTTCAGTTTTATTAATTCAATTTGCTATGACAAATTAGAGTTATATAATCACTTGCTGTTGTCAGGAGATTTTCTTAATCAGATTAACCAAAGAGATTGTCTCTTAGGTTAATCTTATCAATTGACAAATTTACTATAAAATGTTTGGCGTAACCAAAAAAAAACCACTATTAGAAGTTACCGGAGATCAGGTCAACATGAAGTTCCTAGTTGTAGTATTGGCTTTGACTTCTGTAGTCTTAACAGCGCCACAACCCAAGAAGATCTTCCACGAAAACTATGAAGACTTTTTGGACTTGATCGAAGAGCGTGTCGGTGATCAGATCAGTGTCCTCATGACTCAGTACATTCAGAACCAAGAGTTCGTAGACACTTTAACGTATTTAAGCTCTGTCGATTTCAAGAATCTGGTGTATGAGATGGAAGATCTGCCTGAATTTCGTGCTGTGAGTGGTAATTGTAATAGAGTTTAAAAAGGGGGATTGTTATAACTTTTTGTAAATATATATAATAACTTTAGTGGATATGCTATATTCTCAGATGTTATATTACAAAAGATGTATTGATAATGAGTTGATTCACCTACCTACGACTTTCTAGTTAATCTCTTTAATTGTAATCGTCTTCATTGTATATGCCTTCAAAACTTTGTGCTTTTCCTTTTGTAGTGTAAGCATGAAAATGGTTTGATTTAAACATTATTTTTGTTAACAGGTCCTTAATTACCTCGAAACCCACAGTATCGACATAATGTTCTTTATTGACTACTTCAACGAAATATTAGGTAAATTATAATTCTAGTTTGTTTAGTTTTAAAGTAAGTTGATTTTGATTAACTGTGTTAAGTCTATTTAGATTTAATGAAAATAAGTTAAATAACTATTTAATTCTCATTTCGAAACCTTAACTTAAAATTTATGTCTATCTCTTTTTTTCAAACAGAAAATCCAGAAGCAAGAATGCGCACTTCTCGCCAAGAGCCCAGTGGTCAGGACTTTAATTCTTTCTTGAGGGATGTTATTGCTTTATTCCCTAAGGCTGAGTTAGCTGCACTTTACGATCAGAAAATGGCTGACGATGAAGATTTCAGGGCTGCTATGGAAGGTCTAAATAGTGAGGAATGGGATCAGGTCTTCGAAGCTCTTTGGGATAGTGAAATATTTCAAGCTGAAGTTAAAGCGTTGGCAGAAAATGGCGTTGATATAGAAGTCCTCTTAGATCAGCTAGTTGCTATTTTTGGACAAGACTTTGAATAATTAAATAAAAATGTCCAGACAAATAACGCTATTTAAAGAAAATAAAGAAAAAAAATGAAATTGGGTTGTATTACATATTGAGCTTACATAACCAATAGAATACTAAATGTATTCAGTATCATTTTGGTTTTCGAAATATTTATTTAATATCAATAAATTTTATATCATTACTGTTGAGCTTTTCTTTAACATTCCAATTCTTTTAAAATATATCTACGTGTCTAACAAAACCTATATGTACACTGAATCGTACTTTTGCGGGTACAAAACAGTGAGAATATGCTGTGTAGCCGCGGAAGCCGTAACTGCCCTTCTCTGAATTTGAATTTCACCACACATTTCAGCTTGAACACTGGTGTACGATTTCTTTCTTATCTTTTGCTTCCCTGGGTTCGTACACGTGGTCACAACGCTTTGTCACACAGGTGTGATAATGAGGAATATATTTTCCTCATAGCAACACTGTTTAATATCACCATTGACCAAACGCTTCCAAAACATGGGACTTGTGGTCAGACTACTATTGCGGATTTAGTAGTCTACAATGTGTAGATGACTAAATATTTTTATAACATGGTGGGTGGCATAGTCAACACACCAGTGTGACCATGGTTTCCTCGTAGTCACATCAGAGTGACAAAACTGTGTGACCATTTATAATGTTAGAAAGATAATCTCCAGATAATACTTGGTCAATATTTTGAGGGAGTTTTTTTGCTTCCTCATAAGTTTATTTTTAAGCCTTTAACATTTTTATAGTAAAATCATACCGAGTTTATGAACATGTGTCAAAGTAAAATGTTTACTAAAGAGTAAAGAGTATTGATATCAATTTCGATGCAAATTACTTCCACAAATCTTTCTATCTCTCTTTAAAGCCGTTAGACGATGAGATTCAATAACATACGAAATACTTGAAACTCGAAAGAATGATTATGCCAAATTTTAAGTAATATGGACTAAAAGTAGCAGCATATGAAATGTATTTATATCCAGCATATTATGAGTTTACTTTTGTAATTTTAGATATTCACGGATTTGAAGCGAAGTTTAACAGGATAAAACTTTATAGGTTTAGTCTTAGTTCATTTAACAGAATCGCCAACATTTTCTGTCATTTTTTTACGGAATCCTCGATAGGTGAGTTTGACTTGCACTTGACCACATTATTTGACTGTATTTTGACTGAAAATGACTGTATTTTTTCATTTATTTACGGTAATACTTGTATTTTATAATTCAAGTACCTGTCAAAGATTTTAGATTTCTTCACGTTATCAGACGTGTCTCTTCCTACCATTGACTTTTATCAAAGTTGGGTTTCCGTGAAAAGATAAATATTAAGTTGACAGCAAGAATTTCCATTCGGTTAGTATGATTAATAGATCAAAAGATAGGTACTGTATATAAACACGGTTTAAAATAATTTCACTGTAGTTCACAGAATCTTTTATTAGTATCGACAGTTTTCCGTAGGTACTCAAAAAAAAGTTATATTTTACTAGTGACTTTATTTATAGAGCCAGCTTTGCTATTTTATTTACCTTTGTGCTCTGCTCGTGGCCGAATGTAGTGGCTATAACTTTAATATTTCATATGAAAAAGGGATAAAATAAAATTAATACTAAAAAATAACTAAAATAAAATAAAATACAAGTTTTATAATGGCTTAGCTTAACAAATTCTCATTGTAGTCAGAGGACAGTTCTGTGAAACATTTTTAATCTAAGACGGTCCCGACTGCATGCAATGTGAATTTTGTTTAACCATACAACTTTCTTTTATTTTAGTTCGATATTTATAACAGACTAGCCTTACTAAATAAAATCTATCAATCCGGAATATTGTTTCTTCGGAAAATGATGGGTTTCTAAAACCAGGCAGTCCTTGTTATACTTAAGGCGCGTTTTGATTTTCGTTGTCTTATTTTACAGCAGTTAATTGGGACGATGACCATTTTTTTATCTGTCCGTTATGTAGACTATTGAAGAATAAACACATCTTGTTTTTATTAAATCTTTTATTGTTAATAAAAGCTTAATCAACATTTTGTTGATTTTACACATACCTAGTTGTACCGTAGTGTGGCCCCCACACTTTAACTTTAATGCATATTATTTAAAGTCTTTTTGGACCAACGGGTTAACGTCTCTTCCGAAGCAGGAGGAGCTCTATGTAGATAATAAATTTTCGGTTATCCATCCTATGACCGGCCAAGTGAAATTTGCTTAACAACTGTATAACCGCGCTTACTAATGCGCCATTGAGTTGGATATCAGTTTTATATGCTAGGTTATAGGTTTTATTTTTATTAATCTTTCTCGACGTCGAGCTCGAGGCTGTTATTACAGATTAGCAGAGTGGTAATCAATAGAGGATTTTTGATTGTTCGAGTCACTCAGGTTCTTTTTGTGTTTTAATAAACAAGAAATTAGATTTTATTTTCTAAATTTTTAACAAGAGTTTATTATTCGACTTTGTTTTACTAATTAATTAGAAGTTATTTGTATTAAGTTACTGATGAACTGTTCTTAAAATATGCTTTATTAGCACAATTTATGAAAACTAAAAAAATATTACTAACTTTATAACCTTCAGTCTACATATAGACTCATAAAGACAGGTTAAATTATTATTAGCAGATAAGGGACATATTTGTTCATATCATATAATATTACCGTATAGTTAAAAAATTGAAACATAAAAAATATGCCTTCATATTATCAATAGTGATTTTAAATATGGTTGCTGCTAAATATATTACAATAATTGTTGTCGAGTGAAAACCGTGGAAATAACATTTACTTCACGTTGATATATCGTATTATAAAATATGTTCAAGGAAAAATAAGTTCAAATCTGAAAATTATGCAATATATTAAACCACATCACTTACATATGTATGTACATAGAATTTTAGTTTAATCATAAAAAGGAGCTTAATGTGTATTTTTCAAAATATATTATTTTATTCGGTTTTAGAACCATTTGTAACCTACAAAATTGTACGAAACCCTCAATGGGCGAGTCAGACTCTCACTTGGCCTGTTTTTTATGAGTGTCTTTTTACCTCAAAGTTCCTTTACGAGAACACATTAGTCTTGTCCTAGTGAAATCTCGAAAGGTTTAGCCAGTTTAAGTATAAAAAAATAATCGAACTTTTATGTAATGACAAATTTCTTTTATGTCTTCGAACACCGCCTTTGTTTGTGTTAAATGAGTATTGTCATGAGATATCGTATTGTTTATTTGTTTTGAATACTGAGAATGTCTTTGTCACTGGTAATATCTTATTCCTCTTCGAGAGTTCGATGAGAAGCCTATAACTACATTATACTAATGAACGCATTTTTGTTTCTCTACATTGTATTTTTGTGGAAAATGAGAAATGTTCTTATCATTATAGTTTCTACATGTATTACCTTTAGTTATGAATTTGTTGTGCCAATAGGAATAATAGAGGTGAGCGGTATTTACTGATTTTATTTCAACATTTTAAAATCATTTGCTACTGTTCGTAATGTGATTGTTTGTACTAGTACATTTACCAGTAACAATAGATACATATTACTTTAATATGTTTTATAAAACAATAAACATAATATTGTTAAAAACATAATGATTACACTGAAATACTTAATCAATAATAAAGCATTATTTTGCAGCTTGTAGATGAGACAATAGAAATTTTAAGTAACAACACTGTAAAAAAGACTGGTGAAGTATCAAATACTACCTTGCAAGATGGTCATATGAACTTAGATTTATCGTTTGAAAACGACGAGAATATATTGAATGATCTTGAAAACAACCAAAATCGAATACATGAAAATGAATTATATGACCAAAATAATGGTAAACCAAGTAATGTAAATGAAAGGTCCTTTATATTTATAAACCAAAAATTTATGTCACCGGTAATGAAACAATTTCATAATCCAGATATTCTAACAGATACAATTTCACTCATTGGTAAAGAGAAAACCATTAATCATTATTTAGAAGACGATTCTGTTACTTACTTAAATTCTAAAAACGTCCTTTTACCAGAGAAAGTGAAAGAAAGCGACCGTAGCCGCCAATCTTCATACTTTCCAGATGAAATTCCTGACGATTTGGGTGTCGTGCCTCATCGTTTCGCTAAGACGAATGTTCATAATGATGGTTCTAGTGCAGTTTTTAAGAACAATGCAAACTTGAAAACTTTGCAATTTGTTGAATTACTCAAGCCTCCTATTATATTGCACACAAGTAATACACCCACTATCATTCCAAATAATATAACACCGTGGCAAAAGCAACAAGTTATACCAATACATTATGATCAATATCAGAAAGATATAAATGAAATGTCTTTTATACCAAAATCTCCTATGAATCCTATAAAATATAAGTCAGATAGTTACAGGTTATATAGAACATATGGACAAACGAGTAGCAAACCAGAAGAGGATCGACAGTTTCCATACGTTAACAACCAGCAATCGGATTATAATAACGAAATTATCGTTCCGGAAGAAAGAAACGTTATAATAAAAAAAATAATGAATGACAATGATGCAATGAGTAAGTTTTTGGATAAATACATTAAAAAATCGCTAGTGAAGTCTGTTTTGTATGAACGGTTAAATGAAAAAGTACCTTGCAATTATAGCGAATGTGTATCAAAATCAAAAATTCAATATACGAATCATCATACAAATAGAAATGACTGTGGGTGCGGGCATCGTTTCAATGTAACACTAAGAGAATCAAACGGGCTCAGAAATTATAACATGACTAAAAATAGCAGGATGACAACTGACTCAAAATCTTTAGAAGTTGGTGATTATAGTGACGTGATGACTGATGACACGAATATTGAAAAGTAAGTTCATATTGTCCTCGTAAAACCCAAGACCTAAATTTAGTTTGAGATTTCAGCATAAGTTATATGTGCAGTTTTACTAATATGATGTACTTTATTTCTTATAGCAAGGACTCATTTAAGGACATAAAAAATTCATTATATTAAAAATGGTAAACAGCAAAAAGTTGAAAATTATTAATACTATTTAATTTCTTTTTCAGAGCTGTCAGAGATTTAATACAATAGCCTCTGTGTTTTGAAAAGTGATGACTTGAAAATGGAAGAAAACATATTATTCGAATTAATAGAAATGTATCTCAATTGGCTGATTTCCTGTGAATAAGGACTGGTTTGGCTATAATACTTGATAGTAAAAAATCGTATCATATTCAGCATCTGTTGGGACCTTAGATCAGAAACGTCGCAAATTTCGTGATATACATATTTTATTTAACATTTCTCGCCCCGCTCAGAACTTGATGAAGCTTTTCTCTACGGTCAGGGCTGTGTGTAAGTGAACGAATCAAATATGAAATATTACCGATACCAGAGATGGAGATCATTCATAACGAATGTATACTAATGTTTTTAGAACGATGAGCTATTCTTTTTCATTTTGCTATTTAGTTTTTTAAACGACGCTTGTGTTATTGTGGAATATGTTTCTTGTCTCGTTTATTAAAGAATATGAAATATATTTATTGGTTTCCTAATATGTATCTTATTTACAGTAAGGTCGTATTTGTTAAATTTCCAACGAATGGGCCGCACGCCGGTTTCCAAGTATCGCTATCTCAGATTTGACCAGGTCGGGTCAGTATAGAAAATGAACTTTTTTATATTGTCTCAGTTCTGGATGATGTGTCATATATTTTGTTTCAGATTTTTATAACACACGTGATATTTTGCTAATGTTTACGTAATAATGGCATCTCAATAGAATCCTCATCATCATCAGCCCTTTTTACTGCAGGGGTTCAGGCCTTCCTTATGGTTGGTTAAGGAGGATGGGCCATGACCCTCCACCCTGGCCCAATGCGGATTGATGGGTATTAACGACTGCAAATGCAGCCGGGACCAACGGCTCAACGTGCCTTCCGAAGCACGGAGTAGCTCGAGATAATAATTTTTTGGTCACCCATCTCGTGACCGACCCTTGCGAAAGTTGTTTAACGAGTATGATCGCGGGCCGCGGCGCTAATCCACTACGCCACCGAGAATCTCAACTGCTCGCATTTTACTATTGTACTATCTACCTGAAGTCCAATATTATTAGTGTTATCGTCCTCACACATAAATGATGATAGATCTATAATACTCGTAATATTTGACTTCAGATAGATAGTGTAATTATAAAATGCAAGTAGTTAAAATTCCATTGAGATGTCATTATTTCATAAACAATATCAGTGCCATGAATAAAGAAGGTTTAACGTTAGAGTAAATTTACCCTAAACTTGCAATTTTAGTATTAGTCCAAATTCATATTTTACACAGAATAAGCAAACCTACTACCTTCTAGTTATGTTACTCCCATAGAACCTCGTACTAGGTTAACCTTTGCCAAGTCTCTTGTATTATGAATTAGTTTATAATATGAATTTTGAGTAACACTGAGTGCAGTCTCAGCGTAAATTTACTCGAACGCTTAACCTTGTTTATTAATAACACTGTAGTAGACTTGGCCTGCTGGTCATTCAACGTACGTTCTGAGCGCCAGTTTGGAGTATGCCAGTTGGCTTTCAGAGCGCGTAAATCAAGATAGTGTGCGTTCAAAGTAATCGCGATGAGATCGCGGCGCGCGCACGCCACGCGTTTACCCGTTTGTCGTTGCAAATGAAAAGTAAACAGAGGAGCGTCCACAGATGTCCAGATAGCCAATAGTGTCGGTTGATATAGAAACATAATGGAAGGCGCTAACTGGTACTCTTCCTAATATAAGTGAACGTTATATTAGTGAAGTTAGATACCGTAATATAATACAATCGCTGACAGTGTGAAACAGCTGAGTATTTTTTCGTGAATTCAGTTTTGCTCCTATAGTAAAATTGGTCACTATACTTAACGCATCCAGTCCACGAAGTACTGGCATTTAACAATATTAAAACTGAATTTAAATTACAACATTGTAATAACTCGAAATCAAATAAGCCATTAAGGGCTTTATATAGTATACGTAAAAAATAAAAATATTTTCAAAGAAAAGATTATCTAAATTAGCATGTTGCTGACATAAACAGATTTTCTTAAATGTTTCCATATTCCTGCAAAATTTTTATTAGAAAAATATACGTTTCCGAATTATGAAACATCTAATTATCGGGCAGCGTTATTACAATTTTGATAGCATTATAATGTTAATATCTGCAATTTGTATAGTAAGTGTCATAACAAATATTTTACCGGGTTTTGATTTAGTGGTCTTACTTCATTTTTAAATGTTTCGGATCCTTTGCGGTCTCTGGGGTCACTTTGATAATTAGGCCAAAATAAAAACTCTTTTGCAATATGTACACATGGCTGCAAATCAGGTTATATCTTTGATTAATTTTAAACGCTACTCTCAAAGCATTAAGGTTGAAAATTAAGAGGAAATGTGACATATTTGTTTAGTCTGACGCGCTATTGACTGTACAAAGTTAACACGTGTTTGGAATGAAATTATTGGTCCTTTGGTTTTTTACCGAAGGACCATGAAGCTTAGAAAGGCTTCAAAATCTTTTAAAGATATAATAGTAACAAACCAAATAGTGTTCTCCGAAATGTAACATATAATTAGTTTGTTAATTAATACGAGTATTATAAGATAAAAAACAATTTCTTGTGTTCCTAGCCTCAAATGTGTATCGCTTCCAGTTTCTTCTAATATCTTATGGTTTCTTTTCTGTATTTGTCGAGGGAGATGACTTCGCGGACTTGCGACATTGTTCGAAAATATTTGTGCCTTCAAGTTGAAGATTTGACAGCCGTTAGTACAATGTTTGTGTAAGATCAACGTTCTTGATCTAATATCAACACACGATATTAAATGTTTATAGCGAGAAAAATCTATTTTTATACATATAAGATACATGTTTTTTTTGAGGAGCCCGATGGCTCAGTAGCTAGCGCGCTCGGTCTGCGATACTGTTGTTAAGTTATAATAATATAGATAAAATATTATTAAAATAACCTCTAATGACTCAATTTTTCACCCTAGATTATACATAAAATCACTAGTCTATTAATCACTGTCCCCATTGGGGCTCAGGTCTTGCCTATGGATGGAATCGAATCAAATCGAATAGGGAGAATGGGCCATGGCCCACCATGCAGACATATAGGTGGGTATTAATTACTGCAAATGCAGCCGGGACCATTTGCTTAACATTCCTTCCGAAGTAAGGAGAAACTTTAATTAACAATGTTTTGGTCTCCCATCCCGTGACCGACCCTTGCAAAGGTTGCTTAACAATAACGGCGCTTGTCTGCTACGCCACCGAGCTACCCAGCATATTTCATTTCTAAAAGACTAAATTTATATGATCGTTAGATTCAAGCTCTGATACTTTTTATTAAAGTTGTTTTATTAAATTCATTGTAAATAATTTGACAGCCCTATGCAGTTCGAACAAGAATGGTGTTTAATTATTAACAGAGGAATGAACTGGTCGACGCCTCTAAGGCGAGAGTCATTGGTGTTGGTTGGTACCTATTTATGAAATATGTAATAATAAATATTTATTGAATATGATAGTTCTATGTACAGGGTCCAAGCATAAGATGTTATGGGAAGATAAGACATAATTTCTGATGCATATTTATTCGACTACACAAAATTGGATTGTGTTTAGGGTTAATGTACTATAACTTTTGAAAGGCTTTAAAAGACGGATATAAATGTTTAGGGTATTTATTATTAGAAAGTTTGCATTATCCTAAATGACACTGGCTACCTCTATATATAAAAAATCAAAATGGCGGATGTATGACGCCATTTAAAAATATCAAATAGTAATTTAAATTTTACCAGTCGTGTTTTTATTTTATTTTTATTAATGGGATTATATGGTTGGATAAGCTTATTTAATATTGTAAGATTGGAGAGGAGATGCTTCCTGTTCTTAATTATTCTCGTCAGATACTTACTAGATTTTGACGTTAAATTCTGGGAGAGTTTAATCTTTCATATGTATGAATTTGTTAAAATATTAGATCCTTCCCTGTGGGTTTCTTTTTTTAAGAAAAATAATCACTATTTGTCGCACAAATGGCAGTTGAAATAATTTGCTGCAAACGTAGTTAGAGTTTGGCATCAAGTGAAAGTATTTATTAAGAATAATTTGAAAACAACAAGATAAATATCTTCAAATACCTTATTGTCGTAAGATAGTATATTCGTGGTTCAACACAACGCTGTTAAATCTAGACTGTAAACAGTGATACCGAGACAGATCACAGCCTCTAATCTTTATTTTTTACACATAATATAATCTAAAAACTGAAGTTTGTGGTTAATCAAAAAATAATTAATTTTTGGTATAACAAGAAAGATAAAGAGCTGAATTAAGATATGACGGCAAGTAATAAAGTCATTAATTTTAATACAATTATATTTTGTAACATCCAAAATAATTTTAATTTAGCTTTTATACAATTGTTTAAAATGTAGGTAGCAAATTAGTAAGTAGGTACATTTAGTTTCATTTAAATAACATTTTTGTTAATACTCGAACAATTTTGAAATTGCGCATATTCAGCAAACTTTACTAACTGCGGATATCCAATTTAAGGACAAGAGATTGCACAATAAAGGTATAATTTAATTTCCATTTATATTAGTTTGTTAATTTACCTGCGCTTATATAACTTAAACTCATCTTGGGAAGGTGTAAGTATCAAATACGTGCAGAACAAATAAACATTATTTACACAACCCAATATTAATTTACTATTAGCAATCTACGTATCCGGTAATACGTGGCTTTAAATTAATCGGAAGTTGTTGTTGAATTCCAAGCTTTAAGTTCTAAGTGTGAAGGGTGTCTCAGAAGTGTGTTTATGTAGCACGATGGTAGTAAATCAGTGGGGGAACAAGGCAAGCGTGACGTATCAGCTTGACATCGTACGCTGTCACCTGTTCATTGCCCCTCATTTGCGATGAACAAGGCTAAGCGATGGAGCTTTGTATTTTATATGTTATAGAGTATTAGTTTGTTCAGCATTAAATACTTCAAAACTTCTAAATAAAAGTTATCTTCGATCGGGAATTGTTTTAATAGTTGATGGATTTTTAATTGCACGGATAGATTGTGGCGGGCTGTTATTATTTTACATTTTATACTTGTGCCATGAAATTCTTAGGAATGTGTTTCTTAGACAGCTTATTTTTCATGATCACCATTCTATTAATCCCCTATGGGATATGAATGGGCTACAAACCAACCACGCGGCCCCAGTTTGGATTGGTGGGTTTTAATGACTGCAGATGCAGCCGGAACCAATGGCTTGACATGCTTTTTGAAGTACGGAGGAGCTCGAGTTAATAGTTTTTAGATCATCCATCTTACGACCGGCCCTTGCGAAACATCGCAGACAGCTAACCACTGCGCTATAGTGCTCTTCATATTTTAACATAGAAACAAGAGTGCAACAGCTTATTCGTTATTATTTTCAGTACATATATAATGGTCCTATTCCTGGGATTCAGGCCTTCTAGATGGAAACAGACAGAGGGACGGTCTTAATCAATCATAACATAGGGCCATTGCTGATTGTTGAATATCAATGATAACAGATACAGTCGGCATCATCGGCTTAATGTGCGTTTCACTTGTGCACGAGATGATAAATTTTTGATTTTATTTTTGTGGTATTACTACTCTGGTCCTATATGTGCTGCAAATTTATATATATAAACACACAAAAGTGTTTGTTTGTAGTGTTAAAGATTCTTGAGAAGTATAATAGTATTTTGTTTGGGTGTTCGCAAATATGAACTACATAGTTTCTTGTTCGTCTTAGTTTTCATTTCATTCAGTATATCATTGTGAATGTAAAATTTATCAAATGTAACAAACTCAGATTAATTCAGAATTTCACCGTTCCCAAAAATAAATAGCGTTTTCCAAGAAAACTTTAACAATGTAAATAAAAAACTCGTTTCTAACAAACTCGCTGACTAGCTAGACAGACTTCGAGACAAACTAAATCATAAGCATAACGGGTACGAGCAAAAGTTGTTCCGAGATGTTACGGACTTCACTTAACTTTGTAAGCTCTAAACACCGAAACTTATCTTAAGTAAATCCTACTGAAAGAGAGTGTTTACTTAATTATACAGAGGTGCTTTGAAATAAATTTAGAATTCTGCGAACGTTTGCGTGTAAAGTACGAAACGCCTAGCGTTCAGTTGGGATTAATGAGTTTGTGAACATTTAGCAGCATTTATAAAGCGTTTTGAAGTTTTGTTGCCTCATTAAAATTGTATTATTTTATTTATCATATTGTTCAATGACCGGTAACCGGTAACCAAAAATCTTTTACCTCCTCTGTGCTTCGGAAGGCACGTTAAGCTCCCGGCTGCATTAGTAGTCGTTAATATCCACTAAGCCGCATTGGGCTCGCGTTGTGGGTGATGACCCATTCTCCCTATTCGAGAATTGCCGACTAAATACATATATCATTACGATATCTTTCCTTACAAAAATATAAGATAAATCAACGGAATTTCTGTTCCTGTAGATAAATTGTATTTTTGCTATTAATTTGAACACTAACCCTAAAGCTAAATATATTTTTAAATACATACAGTATTTTAATCACTAACTTAATTATAGAGTTTACATACTTACGGCATATAACATTATTATTTTATTTTCAAACATTTAACGTTGAAACGGATTGAAAATTAACTATTCAGCTAAGAGGGCAGAAGACAAATTGTATTTGTCTAGCGCCGTACACAGTGGTTGAATGCATGGCATCTAGCACGTTGACAAATGCTGAAAGGCTAGAGAAATGTGCCTTGTTACATGCGATAAATTGCATTCTGGTGTGTAAATCAAAATATCGTATAGCAGCTAAACCAGGGAAGGTAATAAATAATGTTTTAAGTATATTACTGGGAAATTGAAATCTAAAGAACTAATTTGGAAATGAAAATGGGAGTATTTACTTAAACAATTTCAACTTGTTTGCTTTTATGTTTGCTACTGAATTATTACAACTCGCTGTTTGTGTAATATGTATACGGATAAATAAAATAAATTAATCTTTAAAATATCAAATTTATGTAAAAAGATGATTCTTACTTTCATAATTATGAGTTTTTAATTTATTAAAATATCTATAGTAATGAAAAATATTCCGTATAATATACGGAATAGGTAACGGGTACGAAATAATAGCGATGTCCGAGTAATCTTGCTTTTTGTATGATGGAAACTAAATATTAGAAATACATTTAGGTATAGTTATAAAAACAATGATAATTTATGTTTGTATTTCAAATGGGTGTGTACTACACGAAGACGAAGTTTAATGCAATTTTTATTGTATTTTTAACACTTTTTTTTTGTATTGAACTGATGCAAAAAATCACGCATTGAATTAACCATAGATTAATTTTATATCTAAAACTGATAATAGAAACATTGATATGACAAGACTTGTTTTGAAAATTTTATTTATAAGAAATCGCAAACGATAATTGCAATTTTAATACTTGAATATAGCTTGAATATTTGAATGTAATAATAAGTTTCATTCTATAATATGTCACACCATATAAGGTTACTATTTGTTACATGCGAAAATATGAAAAATGACAAAACGCTAATTTAAAAATAAATATTATGTATTATAACAATATTATTGTAAAATGTTCAGGTATAGTCAATAAAAGTGGGT